AAAGAAAGAAAGAAAGAAAGAAAGAAAGAAAGAAAGAAAGAAAGAAAAAGAGAAAACAAAGAGTGACATCTCTCTCCATGAATGCCCGGCCCAGAGTTGCTTCGTGTAATGTCAGGTATGGCAAGTGGAGACTCTGCAGTACTTAAAGAGTCTCTTTAACATGTGAGGGCTGCAGGGTGCCTCAGCTGTATACACTCAAAGAAGCAGAGACTGGCCTTTCCCTCAGCACTACACAGTCTCTAGAGGGGATGCATACAGTACAGAGCCAGGGCAGGCTTCCAGAGGTAGACCTCTGTGCTCCAAGTGATACCACATTTACTTTAAGGCCCTGCAGATGCCTTTTGAAATTAGAAATGATGACAGGGTGAGGCATCAATTCTCTGTGTAATTCTAGTTGGCTTTAAACTTCCTGCCTCAGTGTCCCACAGGCTGGGATGGCACATGCGCTCTGACATGCCCAGTTTCAGAGAAATTTTTGAGCAAACGGCTGAACCCTTTCATTTTGCACTGGACACAGTGGCATAGCTGAATCCAAGCAGAAATGGGGGTCAAGTTTATAGGCCTATAGAAAAGAGCATGTGGGGAGGAGAATTAGCAAGGATTTGAATAAAAATTGATGTGGTGAAACCCATTACTTTGTATGCTGGTTTTAAAAACTATTTGTTAGGTGGATATTTAGCTCGGGTGGAGAGGAGAGGGCTGGTGACATTGGAGCAGCCATCAGTTAATGTATATCAGCGTTCTCAGGAGCAGCATAAGAACAACTACAGTAGACACAAGCCAAAAGCACAATGTTGACGTGTGGAGGCTCCCACCGGTCCCTACAAGACAGAGATAAGTCTACTGAGATGTGCTCGGGAAGCGCCTGCTTTGGGTTGTTGCACATTGCGTTCATGCCACAGTTTGTATCTGTGGAAGGTGCCAGAAATTAGTGTTGTGTTTGTCAGGGTTGGTACAAATGTATGAGTGGTTTTTAAATTCTTTTTATGTGTTTTCATGTACATCCATGTATGAGCAGGTGTGTATACACACACATATACACACACACACACACAGAGAGAGAGAGAGAAATTATGTATGGAGGCCTGAAGCTGATGTCAGGACTCTCTCCAACTTAATTGAGGCATGTCTCACAGGTAAGCCCAGAGCTCCCAGTCAGTCTAGTCTGGCTAGGCAGCTTTCTCAGGGGGTCTCTTTGCATCCCAAGAGCCAGAACTGTAGTCAGGCCATCCACCTACCCAGCATTTATGTGAGCCCAGGAGATCCAAATTTCACTCCTCAGATTTCTGTGACCAGCATTCTAACGACTGAGGCCTCCCAGGCTCTCACTTTTTTTTTTTTTTTTTTTTTTTTTTTTTTTTTTTATTCAAGACAGAGTCTTTCACTGAGACCTGGGCCTCATGGATTAGGCTCTGTGAGTTTGCCTAGTCTTAAGAAAAACATCAATATGGAAATATCAGTAAAACTGTTAACTGAAGTTAAATGAGCCCAAATTCTGTTCATTGTAGGCAGATCCTGGCCACTAAGTCACAAGTAATAAATTGAAGCAATTATCTGAATGATTTAAGTCCCTCCAACTGTTTCATGAAGTCAAAATAGGTTTAGAGATCATTAAAATAATGGGTTGTGTCCCCAGGAATGAGATAAGAGGAAACCCTCATAGCTGTGTAATTCCA